GTGGGGTAAGGGGAGTCGGATGTACGCACCCTTACCCCAGTACTAAAGCAGGGAGAGACTGTTTCCGGCTCTAGCTAATGTTATCTATAAAAAACAAATCCAAAGTTCTTGCAAACAGAATGAAGTTTATTTTAGACAGACTGATTTCAGGAAATCAAAGTGCAATCATAACAAGGAGATCTATTATAGATAACATTATCATCACTTTTGAGTCTCATCATTACTTCAAAAAAATTGACAAGGAAAGGTGGGTTATGCGGCTTTAAAACTCAATATGAGCAAGACTTATGATCGGGTGGAATGGGATTTGTTGGAAGGGATGTTAAACCAAATGGAGTTCCATGCAAAATGGGTGTCTTTGCTAATGGAGTGTGTTAGGACAGTATCTTATACTATTCCATTTGACAGCACAGAAGATGAACCTACAATTCCAACATGTGGTATCAGACAGGGTGACCCTTTATCACCGTACTTATTTATCATCGTGGGTGAGGGATTGAGCAGCTTACCGCATGAAATGAAAGTTGCAGGAGGCTCCATGGCGTAGCAATAGAGAGAGGGGCACCAAGGGTGTCTCACCTCCTATTTGTCGATGATTGTTTTATGATTTTCCAGGTTACTCATGAGGAGGGAGCCGCTGTTAGGGAGGTGTTGCATCATTGAGCAGAGGCTTTGGGGGGGAGTCTTTAATTTCTAAAAAACTACTTTATCGTTCAGTTCAAATGTGGATGAAGGGGTCAAAGTAGGTCTCTCACAATTGCTGGCAGTGAGGTTGGCATCTTTGGGAGGCAACTACTTGGGTCTTTCATCACTGGTTGGGCATGACAAGAGGACGATACTGAACTTTATTAGGGAAAGAGTGGTGAATAGGTTACAACATTTGAACGACTCAACGACTGATGATTTTTATCCAAAGCAGAGCGTGAAGTCTTACTAAAGTTGGTGGTACAAGCTATGCCAAATTATGTGATGCATGTGTTTCTTTTATCACAATAACTTTGCACTGAGATCGAACGACTGATGAATCAGTCTTGGTGGATGGGACACGCGGGGAATGGTATCCGGCGGACTGACTGGGAGGAATTGTGCAGACCAGAAACAAAAGGAAGGATGGGATTCCGACATCTCCGTGATTTTAATATCGCAATGTTGGGAAAGCAAACGTGGAGCGGTGGAGGCTATTCTCGGAACCAAATACTCTGGTCGGGCAAATTTATAGGGCCAGGCATCACCCCCGTTCAACATTTATTGCTTTGCTAGACCATAATCTGTCTTTTGTTTGGACGAGCTTATGGGAGGCGAAACCGACAATTCAAGTGGGATACTGCTGGCGTATCGGGGATGGGAAATCAGAGAATCTCTGGACAGATCCATGGTTATCAGAGGGCTTAGAGGAGGCTTTGGTAGCTGGGCTTATTCATGAAGAAAGAGGGCAAAGGGACGGTGACATCCTCTCTAATTTATTAACAGTCAGAGATCAGTCTCTGGTGGAGAGTACCCCAGTAAGTATGCAGAAAGTTGAAGATAAGGTGGTGTGGTCTAGGGAGGCCAACGGTGGGTATTCTGTGAGGAATTGTTACCAGACTCTGGTCGGTGAAGATAAACCAATGGAGTGGAGCGGATGGACTGTTATGTGGAACTATGGGATGCACCGTTAACTCTGCCATGAGATCATTTTTGGTATCATGCTTTTCCGAAGCCAGGATAAAGAAAGAGAAAGAGGATGTTGTAGTAGGCTGTAGGCGCGTGATGGCCAACAATATAACTTAGTCACATGACATGAATCGAAATATGAATATCGCTAAAGCTAGGTTGTCGCCCGTAAGCGACGCATCATCCCTCCGTATGGGGTGGTGTTGCAAGGGTGCTCTACACTGCATAGGTCTGGGTGTGGTGATAAGAATGCAAATGTTGCTAGGTCATGTAGTAAGTCCTATGCAGTATGCACCAGTGCACCACATGTGGCTTTAGATGCACCTATCACTATCACTCAAAAAATCTGGCAAGATCTTGAGAAATTGGTGTGGCGAGTGCCAAGGGGAGAGAAAATGGTCATAGGAGGCGACCTCAATAGGCATGCGGGCTCGAGTCGTGATGTTTTTGAGAGAATCCATGGCGGACATGGTTTTGGCACTAGATATGAAGCGGGAAAGAACATTTTAGATTTTGCCTCGACATATGAGTTGGCTATAATGAATATTTGGTTCAAGAAAAGAGACTATCACTAGTAATGTAACCTATAGAAGTGAGAGCTAAAGCTAACCGCAACCCAGCTCCGTCAATAAATCAAGATTCCCATCAGTTTATACATATTCCCTCAGTCAATTAAGTTTTTACTGCAATCCATAATATTGTTTTGCAAATAATTATGATTTCAAAAGTCAAATATTCCGATATAAAAGTAAATAAATTTGGACCTCATTTTGAAAAAAAATAACTGAAAGATGTAAAAAGTATTTTAACCATGAGATCATAATTTTAGCACTTGGATTTACTTAACAAAAGTTTTGAACATAAAAATCTCTTGCAGTTTTATCCACTTTGAGTTTTAGCACTTGAATTTTCCCAGAGGGATGTAATGATGCATGCTAAAATATAATAGTATGGCAAGATAAAGAGAGCAATCAAGTAGAATAATGAGGAGTAATAGCTGATTGATTTGCTTTTTTGACTTTATTATGATTTGATTTCAGTACCTTCATTATTTGATCTATTTTAGGAGGTGATTTTCTAGGATTTCCCTTTCTGTTGCCTTATGTACCAGGATTCTTTGTCACTAGAATGAAATAAAAAATGATAAATTGATAGGGGCTATGCAAATTTGGGGACTTTTCCTTCTCCTTGAATTTCTTCTTTATTTTTCTTCGATATTTTATTAGCATAGCAAAGCTCCTTTTAATAAGAGGGATTACATGCATATGAATGTAGAAAACAAGGAAAGGGAGATCCTAGAAAATCACTTCCTAAAATAGATCAAATAATGAAGGTATTAAAATCAAATCATAATAAATTCAATCAAGCAAATCAATCAATTATTACTCCTCATTATTCTACTTGATTGCTCTCTTTATCTTGCCAAAATATTATATTGTAGCAAATCAATCTCAATGGAGTGAGATTGATCCCAGATTACCCCAAACCCCCTCTCCCGACGCCCTCGGGGGGCGGGGTAAAAAGAAAAAGAAAAGAAAATCTATATGGTGTAGAGTGTTGGGCAGTGAAACAATGTCACACTCAAAGGACGAGTGTGACAGAGATACACATGTTGTGTTGGATGTGTGGGCCTACCAAAAAAGGATGCTTGAGAAATGAGATAAACAGACAAAAGGTGGAATTAACACAGTAGCACCTATAAAAGATATGATGCAGGAGTCTCAATTGCGGTGGTTTGTTCATTTGCGTAAAAGACCGAGTGATGCACCCGTTAGACGAGTTGAGAGGTGAGGAGAAGAGGCAGGGAGGAGAGGAAGAAAAAAAACCCAGATAGACGTAGATTAGAGGAATCAGGAGTGATATGCTTCTTTTTGGGTTGGACAAGAATATGTCTTTGGAGAGAGCAAAGTGGAGGGTGAATATTTGTGTGGACTGTGGAGGATTGATCTTTTTTCGCTCTTTTTTCTCTTTTTATTTCTTCTTTACATTTCTTAAGTTCTTTATCCTTTTACCCTTTTTATTTTATATATATTCTTTATTCTTTATATCCCTTTTATCTTGACATTTTTAACTTTATCTTATCTTTTTTATCTTACCTTATCTTTTTATCTTTCTTTCCTTTGGCTCTGATATCATGTACTGATTCATGTTAGTTGATCCCAAATTTTTTTGAAATTTAAGGTAGGTATGTTGTTAGATCCCTCCAAACATCAGAAAAAATTCTGACAGGCGTGCACTGGTCGCCTTCCCATAGCGGACTGCCTCAAAGGGAAGGGGTGGGCATCCCATTGAATTTCCCTGTTTGTGTTACGGGTATTGAATCAATAGCTCACTCAATGGTTTAATATCCTTTTGGAGCTGAATTGTGGAATAAATTGGGGTGGGATTTGGGTGCTAACTCAGATGGCTCGTTTTTGGGGTGGTTTGAATTGCTTTTGTCATCCAAAGTGAGTAGTGTAGTGTGATGATAGTTTGTTGTTGGGGATGTGGCAATGCCAAAACAGCAAACTTTAGAGGGGGGGAGGTTAGTTCGTACCAAGCACAAGTTTTGGGGAAATCTTTGCAGTTGAATTGGAGACGGGTGCAGGAGAAAGGCAACCAGCTGCAGGAGGTGTGAAACCTTGAAAAAACGGAGTTTGGCCGTGTTAAGTTGAACATAGACGCAGCAGTGAAGGAGGGCGCACTAGGGTGGATGCTTTGTGATCATTTGGGGAATTTTATGGCAGGGGGTGCTTCGCCTTGGAAAGGGGCTTGTCTTTCAACGGAGGCTGAGGCATTGGGGATTCGGGAGGCACTCAAATCCGGAGCGGGGCATTCTCAATTTGTCTTGATTATAGATGATGTTAGAGATATAGCTACGAGTTTTCATAGCATTTCTCTCTTTTGTTAGATGATTAGCAAACTGGGTTGCTCATGAACTAGTGAGAGTAGGCATTTCTTTGGGTGATTTTCAAGTTTGGCTATGGGATCCTTCATGTATCTTGAACGTTTTAGCTTATGACTTTATTAATAATAGCTAAGTTGATTCATTTCAAAAAAGGGGCAGGGAACTCATACGAAGTAAGAGGGGAAAGTTGATGAATGATGATGGAAATCTTTTGAGAAAATTGCACTAAATAGGACTAAAACACATGAGTATTCCCTAAATCGGACTTCATGTTTTATATCCCTAATAAATATGATTAAACATTACATTTCTACCCTTAGACATTACATTTCTACCCTTCAATCAACACTTAAATGAGTTTTCAATCGTTTTCCAGATTAATCAAGCAATTAAGACAGAAAGTCACATAAGAAAGTATAAAAAAACTATGCCTAAAGAATACAATTAAAAAAGCACTGACCTCCGCAACTGCATTGGCAACACTAAGACCAGCCAATTCCTACGATGAAGACGACAACAAATCAAAGACTTAAGTGTCAGTTTGGAACCCCAAAAATACAGTGGAAGGAGATTATGGAGGCAAACTGAAAGGAAAATAAATTGGGATAGATCACACGGTATGCTCAAACTTTATATATAGATTTTTATATTTGTTTGAAATAATTTACTTATTTATTTCTATTATAAGATTAAGAAATTATGTACATTTCAAAAAGTAATCATATTCCACTCTCCTAATTCATTTTATCAGGTAAACCCATATTGCACATAAAATAATAACTATCCTAATCACTTCTGTTTTCCCTAGCATTTTCTAGTATGCAAACATGCCCTAACAGAACCTCGCTACAAAAGATTTTTTTACAGCCATCATTTACAAACCATAAGCTGATCAACACTGAAGCCAAAAGGACCCATGAGCAATTCATCGATTTCCGCAGCTTCTTGCTGCCTCAGGTACGAGATACAATCCGGGCCATGTTGAATGCTATCTACTTTCTTCGCCATTCCCCTCGACCCGACCCAACTGGACCCGGCCTGAGATTTCAAACCCTGCAATCCACAACCCGAGAGAAACCTGTTAACAATCGAGAGAGAACTTACACACGCAGAGAGAGAAGAGGGCACGGATACAGAGTACAGACGGATAGACGAAGAGGAGAAGCTGCGAGAGACTGTGAATTGGGGATAGGAAGAAGAGGGATGGAAGAAGGGGGAAGGAAGATTTGGTATATAAGGCATCTCATGGTCTCAGGTTTCCTCAGCCATTGATGATGAGAGATTTTTTCCTAATGTTAATTAATTAAATAATTATGAAAATAGGGTTGGGTTAAAAGTATTTACCAATATACTGCTGGGTTAACCAGGGTCGGGGTAAATTGCCCAACGGTTGGGTGACTTATAAGTTGCCAAACGGTTTGGCGACTTATAAGTCGTCCAACCGTGGGGCGACTTACCTACTCCGTATTAAATAGGCAGACGGGTTGGCCAGACAGAACGCGTTTATTCCCCAAATCCCCCCAACCCTCTGTTGCAGTGACGACGGACGAGCGACGAGCGACGAGCGACGAAGGACGAGCCATCTCCAGCTCCGGCGAACCTCCTTCTCCGGCGAACCTCCTTCTCCTTCTTCATCACTCTTTCTTCTTTGTTTTAGGTAATTCAAATTCCATTTCATCTCATTTTGAACTTAGGGTTTTGAATCTAAAAAATTTCAAATTTTTGGATTATGAATTGATTGTGAATTCAGTTGTTGTGAAATGTGAATATGTATGAAATGTTGAAATTTGATTTTAAATTGATTGTAAATTTTAATGTGTATTTTGACATTTGGGCATTTGGGTAGACTTGAATGTAGCTAAATTTGGGTATTGAAAGGTAGACATTGAATGTAGATATCAAAATTTGGGTAGTTTCATATTGAAATGTGAATTGTTTGTGAATTTTGACTTTTGGATATATTACAATTTTGGTAGCTTTTTCTATTGAAAATTTGAATGTGTATAAAGTGTGTATATTGATGCCTACTCATGAATGTTGGACAATGAATTGTTATTAGAATATGAATTTCTCAAGCTTCCCAATCGTGTGTCATTGGGGAGGGAACTATTATGAGGATGCTGGGCAAATATGTCATGAAGGTGGTAGAACCAGCTTTGTCATGGTTTCTCGTGGCGCTTGCATGCTCGAGATCCTTCAAAAAATACATGCAGCCACAATGATTCATCCTAGCCGTTCTTTGCGGTTGAAAATGAAATTTCCCATGAACGGGGGAAAGTACATGCTTATGCCCCTCATTGATGGACTCGCTATAACAAATATATGGGGCATAATTCAGATGGAGGATATGTCGACGCTGGAGATATACATTGAGGAATCCTGTGACGCTTATGGTACTCAATCAACATCAAATGTTGTTGTATCTATGCATGATGTCAATGCAGGGGTGAATGCAGGGAACTCCTCAAAGGCTCCTGTACTGGACATGGTTATACTGGAAGATGGTAGGTATTTGCACAACGGTGCATCATTTGTGGATGGGCAGGGAAGTGATGATGATGCTGACGAGAACATCAATGGTGATGACATGACCGAATCTGATGAAGATGATGGTGATACTATCACGCCAACTGCCCCGTCTAGCCACTTTACTAGAATGTATGATCTCCCTGAAGGTTTTACTGATGCGTGGATGAGTGGATCAGGTGACAAAAGGTTTACTCCCGATGGTGAGTTTGAGGTCGGTCAACAATTTGACAACAAAGAACAAGTCATCAATATGGTGAGCTTGTATTCTATCAAACGGAACCAATTCTATTGGGTGATAGAGTCTGATAAACACAAATGGGTGGCACAATGCAAAAGGAAGAAAGAATGTGATTGCCTCTGGAGAATACGCGCCACAAAGAACAAAGGCAACCTTGACACCTTCACAATTGTGCATTATCCTGGACCTCATTCTGCTTCGTGCATTGGCAACACCGACACTACAGATCACGTGGCTTTGACTTCAGATTTCATCTCTAAAGATGTGATTGACATTATTCGCACTAATCTTTCCCTTAAAGTGCATACTATCATTGAGATGCTGAAGGAAAAATATGGGTATACGGTATCATACCGGAGAACGTGGATGGGGAAGCAAAAGGCCATAGCAGAAATATTTGGCGGTTGGGAGAAGTCATATTCTGAATTGCCCCGTTTCATGACAGCGCTCCAACATTCAAATCCTGGAACTGTTGTGCAGTGGTACCCACCCCCCAATACTCCCACGGGTTATATGCAGTTTCAAAGAGTTTTTTGGGCATTCAAGGCATCAATACATGGTTTCAAGCATTGTTGACTTGTACTTACTATTGATGGCACACACTTGTATGGAAAGTAAAAGGGTACATTGCTCGTGGCCATGTGTTGTGATGCGAACAACCAAATATTTTCAGTGGCCTTTGCAGTTGTTGAATCTGAGAATGGAGATAGTTGGTCATGGTTTATGGCATGTATTAGGCAATTTGTCACTAATAGGGAGTTGTGTGTCATTTCTGATAGACATGGTGTAACACCGTCCCCAAATGTATTTACTTTTACGTAAATGATGTAATAAACCTTATGGAATGATTTATGAATTTACGAAGTTGTAAATTTTTTTTAATTCTTTCGCGTGAATAGTAAATTGCACGTGGGACCCACACCGGGAGCGGGGGCCGCCCGACATTCCCGAGACCATATATTTTATTCATCTTGGTCTAGATAATAAATATATAGTGGTGGATATTTCATTTGGGCCATGGAAAGGCCCGGAGTTGACCGATTGGTCAAAAGAAGCCCAAATTACCGGTACTGGTAATTTAACAGATAACAGCCCGGACTGAATTTCGGAGACTTATAAATTAAAGTTGGGGAATGTATATTCATTATACATGTCATAATGAGTAAGAGCACATAATATATTTTATTTGACCCGATAAAATAAAATATATTTAAAACAGTCCGAAAAAATACAACTTTCGGGACCGATTGTACACATCGGGACACAAAGGGATGACCTCCCACATGAGTGGGGGCCACCCCACGTTTTTATGTGCTAAACACATCAATTGAGGGCTGGGTTGACAAGAGGAAATGAGGAGGAGATGCATTTGGCATCAAAGGTACAATGGGGAGGACCCATTCCCACATTATTTTGAGAGAAAAGCCAAAGAGGCTATCTCCTCACTCACCCACCCCATAATTTCGACCAACCTATCAAAGGAGGAGGAAGAGGGAGCTCTCAAGCTATTCTCCATTGCTGCAACTCGAGCTCAAGTAAGAGTGGTCCAAGGAGGGGAATTAAAGAAGGGAAAAAGTGAGGAAAAGGGTGTAAAATTAAGGTAATGACCTTATTATAACTTTTCCTTTATTTTTCTTCTACCATATAAGATATATATCATGTGAAGGATCCTTAAGAGGGTTCTACATGTTATAAGTATGGATTTATGGGTTGGAAAGTGATTCTATGTCCAAGAACGGACTTAGAAGCCAAAACGACCGGTTCACCGGAAAATAACCTTTTTGAGGTTATTTGTATTAACATGGGTTTTATGATTATAAAACCTTGTTAGGCACTTGTAAAGGGTATTTCAAGTGGTTTCACAAAGTTGGAAAAGTCGCCGGAGTTGTCGCCGGAGTTGACCAAAAGTCGCCGGAGTTTCACCGGAGTTCAACCAAGGAGGGTAGAACTTCATAACGCTAGTTCAAGGTGAGTGGACGGCTTAATATCTTATAACTTTTGGGTTAATTATGAGATTACCTAAATAAATGTTATATGAGTTCATAATGATGTTTAAAAGATATTTAAACATGTGATTAGCCAATAGGGTTAAGTTTGTATGAAAGAAATAAATGATTTATGCATGGAATATGATATGAGGAATTACATAAAATGCATATTTGTTTGAAATGTATAAGAAGCACCAAATGAATATTATCAATTTAATTACATGATGATTAAGTTGATAAGTGTAAGACTTGAAATGGCGGTCAACGACACCGTTGACCGGTGGATAATGGATTAATTAATATCGGTTGATATTAGTTAATTATACATTTAAAGAATCGCATGGCTTTGCATGGATTGTGATACATAAGCTTTATGTATTGAATTAGTTATGAGTAACTAAGTATGATATAGACTCTATCTAGGTTGATAGAAGGTTGATCATAGGAAAATATTTTGGTGGAGGACCCTAGTACTCAAAAGTACTTAACACTCAAAATTTGGTGGAGGACCCTAGGACTTAAAGTCCTTAACACTCGGATTATAAATTGGTGGAGGACCCTAGGACTTAAAGTCCTTAACACTCGGATTATAAATTGGTGGAGGACCCTAGTACTTAAAAGTACTTAACACTCGAAACTTGGTGGAGGACCCTAGTACTTAAAAGTACTTAACACTCAAAACTTGGTGGAGGACCCTAGTACTTAAAAGTACTTAACACTCAAAACTTGGTGGAGGACCCTAGGACTTATGAGTCCTTAACACTCGCAAACCGGTGGAGTACCCAAGGATTATGATCCTCAAAACTCATAGATTATGATATTGAAATAGGGACAAGGAGGAGTCCTATACACTCATAGGTGTATGGGTGGGTTGGGGTTTTTAGTCAAGAATATTGACTATTACTATTTTTCCCAAATAAAACGGTGATCTACGGATCGGATATTTTCCAAGTATATATATATACTAGTAAGTATTTCATAACTTGGGGGAAGACTATTTATTTAAGTATCACCCTATGTTTGGGTCTTATACTTGAAACGCTAGTTATTCTATATTTAGCCTGCTACTCGCTCGGTACTTGTACTGACCCCTTCGGGGGGCCCCACCATTTTCAGGTTGAAGCTAGAGCTTGCTACTTGCACCTTCTCGCGGGTGATATCACATCAGGAAGACGTGGTTCGTGCTTCCTTATTTTCTTTCAAACTACCGAACACTTGCTCATGGATATTTGTTCTACAATAAACTATTTTTTGGGGCTTGCATGCCCATGTTGTTGGCCGGCTGTGGCCTATGACTTACCGTTGAATATTTCCGCTATTCATTGGTTTAAATGTGATGTTGTTATGTATGTTTACTACTGAGTATGGATGGATTGTTTTCTCGAACGTCTTGTGTAATTAAGTGAGGTTGACTCGTGGGTGACGTCACTTAGTTATACGGCGGTTGTACACGCGCTTGGATTGCGGTCCGGGGCGTGACAATTAAGTGGTATCAGAGCCATCTCAGTTCTAGACTATATAATCAACCTCTCACAAAAGA